GGTAAAAACCTCCAAGCACCCCCACATTTTAAGCATTCCAAAGAAACTTAATTTCTCTTGCTGATGTATAATTACACAAAAATATTAATACACCTCCACAATTCTGAGGTAAATCAGAATATATCATTAATTGGCGTGCTTGAACTAAATAACAAGATGTAAATTGCTTTGTGAATATAATCATAATACTAATTTGTCTAAAATACAATTAAACTTCATAACTTGCTTTTGCAGTACAAGAAAGAAATGACTAATATCGGTTGTGGCCACAACACTAAATATAATCACAATACTAATTTGTCTAAAATACAATTAGACTTCGTAACTCGCTTTTGCAGTACAAGAAAAAAATGAATAATACCGGTTGTGGCCACAACACTTTGTCAAATAACATTTCATAGGTTTGGCCGAGAGCATAATGTTTAGCTGATGACCATTCTAAATGGCCGGTGATGATCTCACTCAGCCGGTAGTGTCCCACAACACTCAGAGAGGCAACCTTGGAAGTTGTGCAATTTTCAGAGAAGCAGAACAGTCAAAGCAGAGGCAAACTTGTGCATGGCAGTGACTTTCCGAGCGGAGCCGAGCGCGCATTGCATTGGGCCTTTTTCCCGAGGCCGTTTACTGCTTTCATTAGATTGGTTAATTTGTTAATTAATTAATTGGTCTGTAATATTTAATTAGCTTGTAGGTTAATTAATTTGTATTATTCTTTTGGTCCCTCCGAGCGAGGGTGAATTTGTAATAAGTGTGGGTGCGTGTGTGCATGTCTTCCAACCCCCACTTCTTTCTCCCTTTTACTTACCTGCTTTTGATGGTTAGTATTAGGACATGTTTACTTTAGCATACCTTATGCTATGCATGCGTGTATCATTCATCAGTATTGCATGCACCAGGCTCGGCGCATCATACTAACTGCATATGTATTTCAAATCTAACTTGAATACATGCTACTTGTGCATTTTCACACGTCATTTATAGACTAGTCGAGCCTACTCTAATTGCATTCTGTATGTGATGCATTAGGCACTTAACATGAACTAGGATCATGCATGTTTGCTAACTAGTTTATTTGTTTTGGCACGGAGTACGATGTAAGTATTTATGCTTTAGCATCTCACATATGTGTGAATGTTGCCATAATTGCATGATTACCATGAGGCTAGCTGCTTATGTGTTAAACTATTTGAATGCCTGTGGATGAAGGTTGGATTGTTTGAGTTGGAAAGTCGAGTCCGAGCTGTGGCGAGGTCCCCCGCGGGCTTGTCTACACTTGCGAGTAGCAAATTCCAAAGTATTTTTCCAAAACAAATGGGTATGCAATGCTTCTTTCCAAATTAGGCAATCTAGTCTATACTTGTTTGCTGTGCGCATGACATAGTGATTCTAGGTTAATAATTGGAATAAGAACATATAATGTTTTCAAAAACGGATATCACGGTTAGTAGAGGCCGATCTTCGGATCGGGCGAGAGGGGGTGCTCATAGCTGACCTTCCCCAATCGTACCCTAGCTCCCGAGCCGAGAAACTCCGGTGATGACGAACATGTGGCCTTCGGCACCGAGTCAGGGTTTCCTAAATTCCCCCATAAAAAATATTTAGGTGGCGACTCTGTATCTGACAAAGCAGTCCATGTTTGGCACTTCTTTTCAACAATCTGTTTCTCAAAACGATTTGCCGGATTTGGACTCTTTGGTTCAGATTAAGAACCGTGACAATTTGAGAGTCCGAGCTGTAGTGACCCCACAAATGAACAGAACGGGACTCACCCTCCCGGGGTGTTCGGGGACGTCTACAATCATCAATCCGGCAGGTCGGTGTACCACGTTGATGATCATCAATCTGGCAAGGCGGTCGGTGTACCACGTCGGTCGGAGAAGATCGAAACACCTACGTGTACATACACACACGGCTCCGACTATCTTGGTGAGGTGAGATGTGGTGCCGGTGTTCTCTCTCTCTCTCTCTATTCATTGGAGAGTCTATTTATAGAAGCTGAGTCATGAGCAACTGCAATTTGTATTTTATTAATGTGGCTCAGTTCTCATCGTCTCTATATAAAACACGTAACTACAGGACTCTCTTTCTCAGTCGGTGTCATTGAAGAGTCATACTTCTTTTTCTTCTTCTTGTAGCTCCGAATCCTCTTCTCGGCGGTTTCACCTTTCTCAAACAAGAATTGATTTCAGGTTGGTTTAATTCGTCCCTCACTGCTATGCTCGGACTTGAATTATCTCAAATTCTCTCTCTCTCTCTCTCTATTGGTTTCAGTTTTTGTACTAATCAATACTGAATTTTCTGATGTTAATGTCCACTTCTTCAAATCTGGGCAGACGAGGATGATCTGAAAACACCATTTCAGATCTGGGTTCTGATTAGATTTGCCATAGGTGCATGTACGGTAAAGATCCATAGGGAGGTCCGCTGGAGATCAATGCTGCGGACTCCGCTACCGACAACGACCACAGCAGGAACCTCAACATTCATTGTTGAAGATGTCAAGCTTCTGCTCGGAGTCCGCCACCAACAGCCACAACTCCCACACCTTATCGATTTGTGAAGTGGGATACAGAGAACGTGACACACAAATGCTAGGTTCACGTCGAAACGTCACAAATGGCAATCGGGGAAAAAAGGGTCAAAGCCGAAACATGTCAAATTGTGTCAAATTAATTAGTTCACAAAAAAAAAATGTCAAACTACCTGTGTTCACGTCACAATCCACGTCCCATGCTGTGAGTGTCACACTACTGAATTTTCTAATGTTAATGTCCACTTCTTCAAATCTGGGTAGACGACGATGATCTGAAAACACCATTTCAGATCTGGGTTCTGATTAGATTTGCCATAGGTGCATGTATGGTAGAGATCCATAGGGAGGTCCGCTGGAGATCAATGCTGCGGACTCCGCTACCGACAACGACTGCAGCAGGAACCTCAACATTCATTGTTGAAGATGTCAAGCTTCTGCTCGGAGTCCGCCACCAACAGCCACAACTCCCACACCTTATCGATTTGTGAAGTGGGATACAGAGAACGTGACACACAAATGCTAGGTTCACGTCGAAACGTCACAAATGGCAATCGGGGAAAAAAAGGGTCAAACTGTGGGAAAGCCGAAACGTGTCAAACTGTGTCAAATTAATTAGTTCCCAAAAAAAAAAAAAAAAAAAAAAATCTCTAACTACTTGTGTTCACGTCACAACCCACGTCCTATGCTGTGAGTGTCACACACTCACTAAATTAAAAAATGTATTAGTGTACTTTTTCGATCAACGTGACACAAACACACATTCACCTTCTCCCATACAAACCCACACCAAATGTCAATCAATAATACTAGCAGTGGCAAAACTGTCAACAAACAAATTAAGGGACCACCTAGTCACCAAGAAAACATTCAGGACCTTATAGATTACAAGTCCACAAAATGGAATTTACTGGTCAATTCCCCTATTTTCTTCTTAATTTCTTGGATTTCCGTGGCTCCTCAAACTTACTAACTTATTGATTTGTTTTTGTTTGTTTTTTCCAAGTTATTACTCGGCCCCTTTTTATACTTGAATCCAAGGAGGTGATTTACCTTTTACCAAGGTGAATCATCATCCTTGCATTAGGTGGCCTAAATTTGAGATGCCACCTTTGTGCATAGGTGTGCTAAGCTAAAATTGCTACCATTATTTATCTTTTCCTTAATTTCACTTTGACCTCAAAGATTTCAATAATTTCATAATTGTTTTGATCTGGCCCCAAACATTATATTAATCACATTGTTATATTTTAGTACGTATTATAGTTAAATATTTATTTTTTTAAAATTTATTTCTTTATTTTCATTAAATTAATTAAACAGTTGAGGTGTCACATTTCTCCCCTCCTAAATAGAAGTTTGTCCTCAAATTTGTCGTACCTGAGTTTTCGAAAAGGTGTAGATACTTGGTCCGCATTTGACTCTCTGTTTCCCACATTGCTTTTTCGACACGATGATTTCTCCATAAAATTTTTACAAGAGGTATAGTTTTGTTTCGAAGGACCTAATCACGATGATTGAGAATCTGTACAGGTTATTATTCATAAGAGAGGTCTCCTTGAACTTCCAGGTTCTCATAATCGACAACATGCTCTAGATCTTGAAGATATCAACGAAGCATCAAAATGTGGAACACATTGTGATCATTGGACAATTCAGGTAGCAGTGCTATGCGATATGCCACAGGACCAATCCTTTCCAATATCTCAAATGGCCCAATGTAACATGGGTTTAACTTTCCCCGCTTCCCAAATCGGATAACCCCTCTTGTTGGTGAGAACTTTAGGAACACATGATCGCCTATTTGAAATTCTAAGTCTTGTCTCTATGTATCTGCATAGCTTTTCTGGTGGTTCTAGGCAGTGCGAATTCGCTGTTGGATGAGTTGAATTTTGTCACTTGTAATTTGCACGATTTCGGGACCTATCAGTTTCCTGTCTCCAACTTCCGTCCAGCACAGAGGTGATCGACATCTTCTTCCATACAGTGCCTCGTATGGTGCCATTCCAATGCTTGCATGATAGCTATTATTATAGGCGAACTCCACCAAAGGTAGGTGATCATCCTAATTACCTTTGAGGTCTATTACACACACGCGTAACATATCTTCCAAAGTCTAGATTATTCTTTCAGATTGCCCATCAGTTTGCAGGTGATAAGCAATACTAAACTTCAGCGTTGTTCCCAAAACTTCTTGCAATTTGTTCCAGAAGTGAGATACGAGGTAGGGATCTCGGTCAAACACGAACCGGGGTACCATGTAAACAAATGATTTCCTTAATATATAGAGTGGTGAACTTAGTAAGGGAGTACGTGATTTTGATTGGCAGAAAATGCGTCGACTTCGTCAATCGATCTACGATAACCTATATTGCATCATTCTTCAAGACTGATTATGATAGCCCGACGACGAAGTCTATAGTAATGTGCTCCCATTTCCATTCAAGAATAGGGAGTAGTTGCAACATTCCTACAGGTCTCTGATGTTATGCTTTAACCCATTGACAATGCAGGCATTGGAGACGTGACTTGCTATGTCTTTCTTCATTCTTGTCCACCAGAAGCATTCCTTCAGATCTTGATACATCTTTGTATTGCCAAGGTGGATCGTAAACCTCAAGCTATGAGCTTCTACCAATATCTTATTCTTGAGTTCTGGAAGATCGGGTACACAAATTCGATTATGAAATTTTAGCATCCCATTGCTCATCGTAAAGTCAAGATCGAGCGTACTTCTTTGCTCCTCGTACTTTTTCTTCAAAAGTTTGTCTTCGCATTGGCGTGCTCTAATTTCTTTAATCAACGTGAGTTCCATGATTATGTTGGCAAGCAGTCTATTGATCTTGCGGGGAACGAGGGTACAAGCCAAACTTCTGGTAATCTTTCGATTCAATGCGTCTGCTACTATGTTAGCTTTGCCTGGATGGTCATGGATCTCCATATCGTAGTTCTTCATAAATACTAGCTATCGTTGTTGCCTAATATCCAGTTCCTTCTGTGTAAACAGATATTTGAGACTCTTGTGATCTGTGTAAATTTCACAGGTTACTCCGTAGAGATAATGACGCCAGATTTTTAGGGCAAAGATTACTGCGGATAATTCCAGATTGTGGGTCGGGTAGTTCTTCTCGTGGGTCTTTAGTTGACGTGAGGCATATGCAATGACCTTCCCATTTTGCGGGAAGTGCTAGTATAGGAGCTGTCACAAGTCTGTTTTTCAATTCTTGGAAGCAACGTTCATGCTTGTCCATCCATTCGAAAGGTGTGTTCTTCTGAGTTTGTTGGGTTAAGGGTGATGTTATCTTCGAGAAATCTTGTATGAAGCGTCAGTAGTAACCGGCTAGACCCAAGAAGCTTCGAATCTCAGATACGTTAGTAGCTCGTGGCCAATCCATGATTGCTGTAACTTTTTGGGGGTCAACTGAGATGCCGTCTTTATTAATGACGTGACCGAGGAAGTGTATACTAATGATCCAGAATTCGCATTTCTTCAACTTAACATAAAGCTTGTGATCACGTAGTGTCTGTAGAACTCTTCGCAAGTGGTGTTCATGATCTTCTGGCAATTTATAGTATATGAGAATGTCATCAATGAAGATAATGATGAATTTGTCAAGATAGGGTTTGAACACTCGATTTATGAGATCCATGAATGCCGCTAGAGCATTGGTGATGCCAAATGGCATGACAAGAAACTCGTAGTGTCCGTAACGTGTTTTGAAAGCAGTTTTTTCGATACTTTCCATTTTGACTTTAAGTTGATAATAACCAAAATGCAAGTCGATTTTCGAAAATACTTGGGCGCCTTGAAGTTGATCAAACAAGTCATCGATTCGTGGTAGAGGGTATTGATGCTTGATAGTGACTTTGTTCAGCTCTCGGTAATCGATGCATAGCCTCATCGTGCCATCCTTTTTTTCACAAACAGTACTAGAGCTCCCCATGGTGAGGTACTTGGTCGGATGAAGCCATTGTCCAAGAGTTCCTAAAGTTGGGTTTTTAGTTCTTTCAATTCTGTCATGGACATGTAGTAAGGGGCTTTTGGATTGGTTGTGTACCAGGTTGAGTTGCAATGGTAAATTCGATTTCTCAGTGAACCGGGGTACCAGGTAGGTCTTCAAGAAATACATCTGGGAATTCTCGAACCACAATGATAGTATTAAGTATGGGGGTTTCTTGTTACGTATCGATCACATAACAGATACAATTACAATAACCCTTTCTTAGAAGCCGTTGGATTGTCATGAAAGATAAAACACCTGGAGGGAGAGAGACTCCAGTTCCATCAAAGACAAGTTCAAGTTGGTTTGGTTACCGAAGGGAGACTTTTTTGACTTCATAATCGATAGAGGCATGGTTGGCAGCCAACCAATCCATTCCTATGATCACATCAAAGGTACTAATGCAGAGGGGAATCAAGTCTACATGTAAAGTTTCACCTTTTAAGGATATAGTATAAGATTTGTACATGTTTGTACCAATGGTGGAATTACCAGAAGAGAAATACATAGATAGTAAATATCCTAAGGGTTCGGGTGTTGATGCCAACTTGGTAGCAAAGTGTGGTGTAACAAAAGAATGAGTTAAACCAGAGTCAAAGAGAATATGAGCTAAGTGGCCATAGATAGAAAGTGTACCTAACACAACATTCTCGGTAAGTTCTGGGTTTCTAGGTACCAAGGCAAAAGCTCTTCCTCGGCATTTTTGGTCTTTCCTCACTCCTCTAGGTAACACGGGTTTTCGGATGGGGCTGGTCCAAAGGGGTTGGCTGTAGGATTGATAAGTTTTGGGCAATCTTTTAGCAAGTGGCCAACTTGACCGCATCTAAAGCATGCTCCCAAATCTCGACGACATTGTAGAGACCCTAATTTTTTTAATTACCATTAAATCCCTAACCTTCAGTTTATTTCAATAAAGCCCTTGAATTTTTATTTAATTGCGTTTTAAACCCTAGAATCGGAAAGCATCGCGGATTAATTCAAGTAAACCCTAATCGATCCCGGTAGATTAATAATCACCTTTAAAACCATATTATTAATTATTAGACCCTATAATTATAGATTCATCACTTTAAAATCCTAATTCCCGGTAACGTCGTTTTTGCTCGGTTTCTCGCCTTTGTTTGCGCTTTAATTTAACATGATCCAAATTTATTATTTTCTAAGGCTAATATATTGTATGCTAAATATCAAGGTTTCATAAATTTAGACTTGATCCCTATATACTTTTATTTTATTTCATTCCAACCCTTAATTTTAATATTTTATTAATTAATGTACTTGTATTATATTATGTTTATAAATACAAATATCTCATACAAATATCTTATATATATATATATATGTCTTGGAGCCCAAGTTGTTGACCATGTGATGGATGAAAGGGCCATAATGGCAACTTTGACAATTTGCACTTAGGGAACTTAGTCCCCAAGAAACCTTCCCAATCTTTTCTCTATATTTATATGCACACTTCTCCCCCTTATGATATACATTTTTAGCCATTCACTAGAGGAGTGAGAGAGAGTGATCTTGGAAAAAAAAAGAGAGAGGGAGAGAGTGAGAGAGAAGAAGAGGAGAAGAAAAGGAAGAATTGTGTTAGTCTTGTACAACAAAGGTAAACATACAACACCTCTTCTCTCAAGTTCTCTTACCACTTGTTTTTCCCCTCCTAATACATGATCTTTGTATATATATGTTGTAGTCTAGGCCTACACTCTTGTATAAGTGTGTATTAATCAAGAAATGGTATGCTTCACTTTCTTTCTTAAATTTCCAGCAGCAAATCATTTCCCTCTCTTGAATTTATTTTCCTATCAAAACTCCATAAACTCGAAATCTGTTTTTATGGTGCAATATTTGGTATGTCTAGAGTATGTGATAATTTTGGTAGGGCCTAAAGATGTATCTTTAACACCTAAACAATTTTTATAAGTTTGTTACTCACAAAACCAGAAAAATAGTCCACTTTCTCTATTTTTATAAAATTCCAGAAAAATAATCTTGAGCCCAATTTTATGTAAAAATCTTAATCTTGGTGTTATATTTTAACTACAATTTGTTTGAACTCAAGAGAGTAAGGGGTTTGAGAGAAAAACTGATTTGCGTAACGGTCAACGAATCTGGACAGATCTTGGTAATTCTGAATTATCTTAAAATCTAAAATACCTATCCCACTTTCGTAAATTGAGTTTGAAACTAGACTTATTTATCTACAAACTCACATGAGGCCAGGTACTTAGGGCCAATAAAAGTATTTTTTCAAAATTATTTTCGAACTGGTTCAAAATCTGGAAATCTGGAAATTTGTGTTAATATGCTCTTATTTGGTTTGCAACTCTTATATTCTATGTTTCTTGAATGTCTTAGTCTTGATATGTAATCTGTGATAAATTGTAAATTTTCTTTACCATTAATAAATTACTTGTTGTTCAGTTTGGATTCGTAATTATACTGACCATGCTTTGCTATAACTGAGAACATAATGCACTTAATAAAGAGGAAATCAAATGAGATGGTAATGGGTTGCGATCATAATGAACGATGGATTCAAGAGTATGATATAATGGAATGTATTCCATTTTTGTGAAGTCTTGCGCAAGTGTGTTTCCGAACCCTAACATGGCACGGGAGGTATTCTGGCTACTTAACGGAAATGGGAGGCATAAGGGTGGCAGTGAGGGTCTCACACAGGGAGAGTATCCCTAGAAGCCTGTTTCCTTGGGGCAGACCGTGATGTCACCACTTGGGTATGTAACCTAGGTGCGTGAGCATCATTGGTAATTGCGAGGTAAGTGACGCACTGGTGGTCATGCGGTAAGCGACGCATTGGTATTGTATTAACCAAGGGGGAGTCAGAATTGCCCATGGCCAGTGTTAGTGGTTGGGTAGGAACGGCTTTCTGCGGGGAGTTGCCTAGAACTAACTAAAATTGACTATTATTCATGAGAACTGAAACTTAATTATAAGCTCTGCTTAATTATTGCTTTCATTGTATGTTATGAGCATGCCGTTATGTTCTTGTGTATTTGGAATGGAAAAAGGGTCGGGGTGTGTGTGTTTATTGGGCATTCCAAGCTCATGGCATTTTATGCTAGGTGAAGGCGAGTTTTACACCAGAACAGAATCCCTAAAAGCTTTGTGGAACCGTGGCTGCCTTAGAAATTAGATTGTATATTTCCTGTACTTTGAATAATCTTTTTGTATCAAGGAACCGATATGTATCTAAAGACTTGAAGAATTTTATCTGTAACTATTATTAATATTTTATTTTAGTGTAATTATTTGTATTTTGTGCTTAAAAATGATGTGTATCCTCTAGCTAAACCCCGGTGCATCGTTGTATTATATTATCAAAATTTGGGGCGTCACAACTTGGTATCAGAGCTTAGGTTCAACTCTCACCCACGCGTTCCGACTTGCAATTAGAAACAACCTTGCTACCGACTATATTACATTATGACAACACTACTTAGTCTAGAAACTAGAAGATGTCAAAAATT